TTCCTTCCTGAATTTGAGGATTTTGATGGGTGTTTGCAGTAGAGAAGATGCAAAGCTTTAAACTGAAGCTTTTAAGTTCAGTTTAAGGGAGGGACTGTTGAATAATTTAGTTTAATTGTTACTGTTATTGAGTTGTTTTCAATGTTTGTTTTCTTAGTCAAAGCTTTGTCCTATTCTCTAGGAATTTAGTTGTTTTCAATGTTTGTTTTCTTAGTCAAAGCTTTGTCCTATTCTCTAGGAATTTTGTTAATAATGTTCAGCAGAACATGGTCATGTTGCAGCAAATTTCTCTTTCAGTTAAGATTTTATTTTGCTCTTTGTAAGCCTATATAAAGGCTGTCATCTTGCTTAATTATACACCTGTACTTTTGAGCATCTCTTCTCTCTTTTATTTTTGTTTATTTCCTATCAGTTTATCAAATATCATCTGTATTATAATCAACCCTTATGATCCTACCCACCACATCTCCAACAGCTCTAAGCACCTTCTTGTGGTACAGGTAAAGAGGTAGGCCAAGTAATTTAATCCATACAATGGTTGACTTAATCGAAAATTTTTGGATACTAAAACTTGGGCTCTAAGGGTGCACCATATGGTAATCACCCGCCATTGTCCAAGGACCATCAAGAACTGCTTTATAGAAGTCAACCTCTTGATCAAATTTTACGAGAAAGAAACTGTTACCAAGATCAAGAACTTGGTGACCATTGGGGTTCCACATCGATTGGATTTTTGCACATAAAGCCTTAGATCTAATATTTCTATCCCACAAGTGAACAACAGCTGCCTTTAACCACTTGCTTGCCAAGCTACTCTGCAAATCCTTCGATATTCACACCTCCAATATCGCTCTAGTCTATCAATACTAATATGACTAGGGGAGAGCAAAAAGTTAATGTCATTTAAAGGATCAAGTCCGTATCAACATCCATACCATATAGGACATTGTCCCTAAAAAATTGATCCATCCTGTTTGGGTTATGGCAAGGAATCTCTATTGACATTCATACGATCCTCCTCCTCTGATGAAATCTCATTAGGGTTTTCCCTCTCGTACAGTTTTCTCTCGGATCATATTTTTCTGATAAAATTAATTGTTTTAATAAACGTTGAATGAGGTAACTTTTGATAATCCTCTCGTGACCCATTTGACATTCCTATTTCTAGAGATTATATTTACGTTTTTATCCTTTTCATAATTGAATACATTTCCCCTATATTCTAATTGTAACGTTTTCTCTTCCCGATTCACTTGGACCCCTCATCTTTCTATTTGACAATATAATCCTATCAAGATTAAATTCATTGATGGTCCTTTAAATTAGGATCTCAGCACTTAACTGTGCCTACACTTCAATTTATAACTTAAAAATACTTTAACATTAATTTTGTACTACTAAAAATGTCTTTGGCCGTTTTAATTAATTTTCCAGCACTGGATTGCCAAGTGGTATGACACGTAGCATATAAAAAATTAAAACATTGTCTAGGTGACATATTATAATTTTTTTGTTTTAAAAATAATTTTAAGTAATAAAAAATTAAACCATCGTTAAAAAATAGTTGCTTTTTTTTTCCTACACAGTTGTATACTAGGCATCTTTAATGATTAATCATAGGCTTTTATTTTTTGGATTGTTGGTTTTATTTTTTTCCCACAAATAATTTTAACTCATTCTTCTGAATCGTTGAAAGAAAAATTGGATTTGTTTAGATTTTGAAAACGCTTTAATGATTTTATTGGTAGAAATGCATTTTCTATTTATTTTATCATGATGAAGTTTGTTTATTTTATCATAACGAAGTTTTTGTTGTTAGATTAAAAAAAACAAGTTTGTGTCGTTTTCTATATGCAGATTCATTTTAAAGATTTGTAAAATTAACTATTGGATCTTTTCATATCTATCAGCTTTTCGTTTAACAGTTTGATAATGGTGGTTTGGTTTTGATAAAATTCCAAAGAAATCTATATTGCAAGGTTAAGGTGTCAATCGCCAAACTAAGGAATTTTTTTTAATATAAAAAAGTTAATTAATTGATTTGGTTTAATGTTTTTATTATTTAAAATTATTTTTAAAACAAAAAAAATGCCACAATATTTTATTTTTTATATGTCACGTGACATACTATTTGCAACCCGATGTCGAAAAATTAATTAAAATGGTCAAAGACATGAGTGTAATTCAGACCGTATGAAATGACCCTCATTCCAATTCTGTTCCAAAATATTTTGGAATTTGAAATTGCATTTCATTCCGTTCCAAATATTTTTTTTAAATTTAAAATTTTATTTCATACCATTCCATTGAAATTCAGTAGTTCCAAATTTCTTAACCAAATATAAATCTAACATATTATGATATCTTTTAAGATGTAAATTTTTAAAATTAACAAGGAATAATCATCATATTTTATATATACATACTAAAAAGATATAATTAAATTTTAAAAATAATACATTAATAGATGTAAATTTTTAAATCTAAAAAGGAATAATCACTATATTTTTATATATACAAACTAAAAAGACATAATTAAATTTTTAAAAAATAATAAATTAATATCACATATAGCTAAATAAAATATCTAATCTTACATGTTTATATATAGTAGGTATACTTCACCCTTGACATTTAATAACTAAATTCATGTAATTAACATCTTAATAATTAATAATAATAATAATAATATTATAAAATCAACAAAAGATAATGTGGTTCATATTAAGATATATCAATATATACAGTTACCAAATTTATTAAAAAGTGTTAAATAAAAAAAAAAAAAAAAAAACCTATTATAAGTCTAAGTAAACTAAAATATTTCAAATCATATAATCTAATAAAAAAAGTAAGAAAATTATAACTAACCCAAAAAAAATATATATATGAGTATTCAAGCACATAGTATATATTAATTACTAACTAGGGTTGAGGTTAAAATATTCTATTAAACTAAGTAGTTTTAGAATTAAATAGAAGTTTTCTTAAAAAATATGAAGAATTAAAATATTTTATTTTATCTTTAATTTAATATTTTTATTTTAAAATATGTAATTATAAATTAAAGTATAATAAAATAAAAATTCGGTATATGAATTTATATGAATTGAAATATGAAATTAATGTCCATTCCATATTTCATATACCAATATTTTAAAAAATGTATTTCATTTTAAATTTCATAATCCAAAATTCCATTCCAAATTAATATTTGGATTGAAATTTCGAAATGGATTGGAATATTCCGATCCAAGTTATACGGCTAGTCGAAAGACATTTTTAGTATTACAAAATTAAAGTTGAAGTATTTTTAAATTACAAATTGAAATGCAGGCACAATCAAGTGCAGAAGGCTTTAAGAGGAGGACCATTAGTGGCTGTTAATCTTTTTTATGGCTAAGATATACTTAGTTGTAAAATAAACAATACCACAACTTGGTGGCTGTAGTTTAGTGGTAAGAATTCCACGTTGTGGCCGTGGAGACCTGGGCTCGAATCCCAGCAGCCACATTGTTTTTATTACTTAAAGCAATTACGACACGACTTTTGCTCGTCGCCGCATCAGCTAAACGACATCATTGCAGTCACTCGCTCTCTCTCGCGATCTCCTCATGGCTCATATTAAGTGCAGTTTCTACCGGTCTTGACTCTTAGAAGTCTTCTTGAGCTCAGTTCAGCTGTTTCACTGCATCGGAGATTGAAATTCCGCGATCTTCTCCCATTTTGCGCTGTGAGCCACCGTAAGCTTCTCAATCTACTCTCTTTTCTCTCTCAAAATTTTAAGAATCAAACAAAGCTAGGTTTCTAGATCTTCGATTTCATTTGCTAATTTCTCGATGTCCTCAATTAGAGATTTCATAATTGTTTCCGATCCGTGTTTGAATCTTTAAATTGATTAGCTTTTATTATTATAATTTCAATTATTGCACGATTAACTAATCATTGAACTGGCTTATAGTGTTATTGATTTATAGGTATATACATATACAAATCAATTGTTGTCGTAAGAAATTGGCTTCTGAACGTATTTGGATTTTCATTATAGAATTTGAAAATCAAATTCTAGAATTCATGAACTTGAAATATAGAGTTCAATTCATTTGTAAACGATAGAATATGGTTTTTTTTTTTTTTTTTTTTTTTTTTTTAATGTTTTTTTTTTTTTTTTTGTTTTTTTTTGGAATTTGTATAAAATTGAATTCATTTCCAGAGTGGGTTTGTTCATTTTTATTAATAAACCATGAAAATGAAAATTGAATTCTACCAAAAATTTTCCCCTTTTTTTTATAGAGAATTTGGAATTAGCCTAATTTATGGGAAACAAAGTTGTTTGTGTGACTTACCATTCAAATGATAAAGTTGAAATCGAAAAGTCTGTTTTTTTTAATGTTTCTTGTGAAAACCCTTTTGGAAAAAAAATATAAAAATGAAAGGAGGCCTAATTCTTTGCCTTTTTTTTTTTTTTTTTTTTTTTTTTGAATTTGTATAAAATTGAATTCATCAGAGTGGGTTTGTCATTTTTATGTAATAAACATGAAAATGAAATTGAATTCTACAAAATTTTCCCTTTTTTATAGAGATTTGATAGCCTAATTATTGGGAACAAAGTTGTTTGTGTGACTACCATTCAAATGAAATGAATCGAAAAGTCTGTTTTTTTAATGTTCTTGTGAAAACCTTTTGGAAAAAGAATATAAAAATGAAAGGAGCCTAATTTCTTGTGCCTGTTAATTGGGCTTTTAATTGATTAACCTTGCTTTGAAGTATTTCATGTATCCCTTCATATTCTTGAGTTCCTTAGGACATGTGAATTTGTAAATCAGTTGCAATCTGTCTATTTGTCTGCTGTTGTAGAATTGTAGTTTTGAGTATGAGGTAACCAATTATTTGGAGCCAATACTGCTAGTTATATTGACATAATTTTTTTTAACTTTGTTAAATGTATGATATTTTGAGCATGATACTGATAGTTATGTTGTTATTTTTGGATTTTACAGATGTTTGATGATCAGGACCTGGGATTCTTTGCCAATTTTCTTGGCATCTTTATTTTTGTACTGGTAATAGCGTATCATTATGTGATGGCTGATCCTAAATATGAAGGAAACTAAGGTTTCTTCCCTTTTTGTTATGATTATGGTAGGTAGACATTCTATGTGCTAGTTATGTGGACCAAGATGTTTCATCAAAGGATATAATTTGATTATGTTAAAACAGCTGGTTGCACCTATGGATGTAATTTTTTTGCTGCTATTTTCATAAGTTTCTTATCTTCACTTCTTATTAAGTCTTCACATCCACAAGCTCAGATTGTATACTACTCTCCGAAATTGTGTGAAAAAATAATAACGATAGATGAGATGCTGGTCCACTTGTATCTTATTGGTCATGGACTTGGTGCTGGTGGCAATGCCCATTTGGTGTTGCAGGCAATTCTGAACATGTTTGTTGGAACTGCTAGATAATGTTCCCAGGAAAAGTTTTAAGGATTTCTTATGTGATGAGAATGTATCTTGGGTTGTTTGGGCAATCTGTGAACACTGGTAAGGAACTTTGAACTTCCATCCTTTTTTTTTTGTCTAAACAAAAAGCAAAAAAATACTACATTGTATATGACCCATATTTATGATATTACATGGTGGTAGAGATATACTGTTTTGCATGCAGAACCTTGATTTTAATGTAAATTTCATGCAAAGTTAATGTGCCTTGTGGGATTCTCCCATGCAATTAGTTTGTCTATTTCTTTCTCAATCTCTATCGTCTCTCTGAGCAAATTCTTGATGCAGAACCCTAGGCCATTTAAGCAAAGTATCATCCAACTCTTAAGCTTCTGCTCACCTTTGGACGCATTAACCTTTCTAGCTATTTCCCTTGAATTTTCAAGGAAAGAATTCACAATCTCTGGAACTGCAAACTCCTCTAGACTCTGATTTGTAGACACATTTATTTTTGTTGATTTTCCCAATTCAATGTCATGAGTCATGCTTTTCTTCTGCCGCTCATTTTCAAGCGCTGCCATAGACTTGATTGAGATCAACTCTTCAAGGCATCTCAGTGAAGGGCAAATCTTTCGTTGAAAATGATCTAGATCATATTCAATATGTTCTGCTAGCTCCTCCCAATCTAGTCCTAACTTTTCTGATATTTCTGAGAAAATCTCAGTGTTATAGGCTGAAAATAGCCAGAGGTCTTGCATCTTTCTTAAAGATCTTAAGACTTTATCATAACAAACATCATGAAAAGGCAAGAACCAAAAATTAGGCTCTAATGCAGCTTCAACAATGAATTTCTCCATTTGGTTGATACGAGAATCCAGAGTCTTCTGCTTTTCTCTTAAATCTAGAGGAAGTGATGAGGAAATGCTCCTTTTATCAGATAAAAGAGCAATATCCTCAATGCAATCTCTGATTGCCCTCAGACTACAGACAAGTTCAGTTTTTGCGAGAGTTGCTGCTCTTGCTGGTTGCAGTAGGATCTCTATTGTAATGAAGCATATTAATCCAATGCAAGCCTCCGTGATTCTTGCAATTGCAAACTGGCTGGGAGAGCCATAATTTTGCCTGCCCAAGATTAACATTGCTCCTGTAACAGCTGAAATCCCGCCGGCTTGTCCATACATTCTGCTATGCCTGAGAAAACTGGTGAAAATGATCCAAGGGAGAAGAAGTAAGAACCTCAAGTCCAAAGATCTTCTGAAAATGAACGAACACAGGATTCCGTAGACTGACCCCATTGCAGTCCCTTGTGCACGAGCATTTGCAAGCGTAAATGTAGGTTCCCTTCCTTCCGCAAAAGTAATGGCAATAGTTAGTCCTGACCAGTATGCGTTTTCTTTATCAAATATCAGTCCAAATAGAACAGCAAAACCCAGAGAAAGTGAACATTTGACCGCAAACATCCATCTTTCCCTGCTTAATATCATACCGGTGCCTTTCCAAATCCTTTGGAGGATACCCTTAATTACTTGATCTTTTCCATTATTAATTTCTACTTTCTGTTTGTTCCTTACAGTGCATTCTGGACTTCGACTGATATGCGAGTCCCATTGCAGAAGTTCCATACAGTATAAGAAGAAGAAATCAGGCAATTCCTCGTGGTTCGCGGCAATAGTTGTGCGACTCCAAAGAGGGTTGTCTGAAAATTCCCCCGTTGTCTCTGGTTCTGTTGTTGCATCAAAAGGTGCAAAACACTTTGCTTGCTCTAATTTTAAGCCTATTTTACCTTTCATGCTCAGTAATACTTCTGTAAGCCCTTCATTGATTACACTAACAGGAAATGCAGAGCGAGAGGTAAGAGCAATTTCCATTCCTTTTATTGGTATTTCTAATTGCTGCAAAACTTGAACTGGGTCGATGCAATTAGGCTTTGAGAAATTGATCTGCGGCTTTTCCCAGATGATACCTCTCTGTTTGTGAAAATGCAGATTTGAATTAGCAAACTGAAATTGTGAGAAAGCTTTATATCTAGGAAAATACAGACATGTAGGTATGACTGACTTGAGCATTTTTTATGGTTTGGAGGTGTTTGATTCCTGTTTCTGATAAGAGTTCTGCCTGTGAAATGAAATGTCTCGCAGTTTGGTTGTCTTGGGCATTGAAGGCCTCCATAAAGAGGTTAATTCTCTTTGAAGCATTCTCAACGTATAATCTGCATGTTTTGTTCACCTGCATATATATACATATATTCATGTGTTAAGGCTTCTACGAGTTTTCTTTTTATTTTTTCGTTCAATTTGCGTGTAAGGAAAAGACAAACCGTTCAGTTAAAAAATTATGTAAAAAATGAAAAAAGTAAATATAAATAGAGAAAAAAAAACATTAGATGTAGAGTAAATACATTTGAATTAAAAATTCTAAAAGCTCCTAAATGAAATTTTGATTCATTTATTATAGTTAAACTAGTATATTCTTTCTATTTTTTTTGTAACTTTCAAATTTTTTAAAATAGAAAAATTATCAAATACACTTGAGTGTTATAGAAATAACATGCCTTCTATTCATCAATCCATATAGATGAATGAAAAAGAGAATGCACATATATAAATACAGGATGTATTAAACAATATCTCTAAGGAGTTGATAAAAATCTCAATTAACTTCATTTTGAGATTTGTATCAGCTACTAATTTATTTATATTCATATTATAGTTGGAATATATTAACATTATTAAAAGAATTATTGATAATCTCCTCTTTTTTTCAAATTAAAAACTTTTATATGATTATTTTATTTATAATTATTTAAAAATAAAATAATTATTAAATAATTTAATCAATATATTGTTTATATGATATATTAAAACAGAAGAATAATATATCACTTTAAAAATAAAAAATATATGATGCATGATAATATATGAAAATAATTGTCCCATGCATAAATTCATCAATATATTTTAAGTAAAAAATCTTGTGGCACCCTCAACTTTTATTTGAACCTATTGAACACTTTTATTTATAAAATTCAATTTGCAAAAATTATTTTATTGAATACTCAAACTTTTAAAATTAGATCAATTAAAGTTTTTAAAATAAAAATTAAATCAATTAAATATTTATTAGACGTTGAAAATTGTGAAATTATTGTTCTAAAAATTATACCAATCACACTTTAAGTGAATATCATGCATGTAAATGCAAAAACACCAGAAAAAATATTATTGCCAGTATAGAGATGAATACAATATTAGCAAAATTTAAAACCTCAGGGACATAATAGGTCACTTGTAGAGTTTGGAGTGTCGCTAGATTTTTTCTGCAACGTATATGGGTATATTTATGCACATGATTAAAAATAATTATATAATGGTCATTTTACATTCAACATTAATCATTGCTAAATTGTACTTCCTCTTTTCATAAATATAAATCAATCATTGCTAAATTTTACTTCCTCTTTTCGTAAATATAAATCGTTTCGAGAATATTAAAGAGTAATTAATAAATTTTTTTTAATTTTATCTTATAATATATTAAATACATGTATTATTAATGACACGGGGATAAAAAGTAGTTTAAATTTATGATTTAGAGGACTTAATTATTTTTTCAATCACGGTGCAAAAATCTTAAACAAATTATATTTAACTTATATTTATGAATGGAGGGATGCTAAACAATCACAAGTAACAACTATTAGCCGTTACTATTAGCTCTCAGCCATCTAGAAATCGAATCCTTAAACTTAGAAACGTAGTGTCTTGCGTATTTTAGATATTTAATTAATTAATTATTATTGTTCCTAAAAATTGTAAAATTTGAAGAGCATAAAGAAAGAAATGAGCAGCGTCACCAAGAGGAAATATTCTCTGGCATTATTGCCAACAAACACAACTATCAACGATGCTGTGGAGTACAAAAATACTCCTCTGTAGCACTGTGTAATAAGATAATTAGAACGTTTTGCTCAGAATATTCTAAAGCTCTCTAATAGTTTAGACTGTAGTATTTATTCCTCTCCTGGCATGGAGGGCTCTTTACACAGTCATCGAGTACCATAGGATAAGGAAAATTACAGAAAGGCTTCTATTATTATTATAATGAATTATAATGTCTAAATGAAAATTAAAAAATTAATTATTTTGAATTATTTTTACAATTTTCATCACTTTTTTTAATTTTATCTATAGGAACCTAATTATTTAATTTTTATAATAGTTACAGCTTCAATATGATTCATGTCTATATTTAATTATTTACGGTGTTCAGTAAATAGTTTTAATTTAGAGTTTAAAAGATCAAATTATTTAATATTACTCATTTTATTAATATTAATGAAACGCTGTCTAACAGTTAATAAAATAGCTAATTTTGCTGAATAGTCTCTTACTAGTCAAATTTTAACATTCAGTGCCACGTGACCGGTGCAAATTAATTAATTTAAATACCTCACAGTAAGCTAGCCGAGGATATGGAAGCAGCAGAGCCAATACAGAAGCCAAAGCCCCCAAGGCCGTACTTGAAGCGACATGAAGCGGGTGCATCACCCCCTCTGTTCTTGTACCATAAATAACTGCTCCAACATAAACGGTCACAATCTGTGCAAATGCAATTCTCTTAGCCATCAAAGGAGTTGACGCCGGAAAAGCCACCGCCAAGGAAGTAATCGCCACTGACGCCGCTGCTAACGCAACAGTGAACCTAGCCGGTCCGATAACCCATAAAATTAACATAGAAGGAATAATTGCTTGAATGCTAGCGTATAAAGCATGGAAACTGCCTCTAAGAGTGTCGCCGAGTGTAGAATCTGATACAATTAGAATTGTTGTAACATAAGAAATGGATGGGTATGATAAAAAGTGGCGGAGCGGTGCAGGACCGTAGAGGGTGGTGCAACCGACGATGGTGCAGGCAAGTAAGGTTCTTAACGCGGAGCTTAGGCGCATGAGCCATAATGCTTTTCTTGGATCGCTTGCCTTTGTTGCTGACATCTTAAAATTTTACAAAAAGATTTAGGATTGTGAGGCTTTATATAAAGGTTTTTGGGTTGGGTGAAAAAAAATGTTAGAAGTAATAGTAATAATTAGTAGTTACTTAATGGTAAATAATTTTCAGGGAATTTTTTGTTAGTTCAAATGATACCTTTATTTAAAAGTAGGAAAAAGTCTTTCTATATTTCTACCAAGATGATGGTTTTTACTGATGGAGCCAGAAATTGAAGATGAGGGATTAAAAATTTTTTCAAAAGTTAAGGGACAAAATAAAAAAAAAAAAAATTTGTTATTTTAAAGGATAAAATTAAAATTTTCATTACTTCATAGGAAGTTTTTTTTTTAAAAAAAATTATTAAAATTTAAATTATTATAATATTGTCAATAGTGTCATGTTGTATAATTATTATAAAATTTAAATTTATGATATTTCATGTAAAAAAAAAATTTTTTATGTAAATATTTTAGCTTTAACTACAAAAATACTTCGAATTATAGAACTTGTTACAAAATCACCTAAAAACGCCTTTGTATTCGGACACCTTCATTTGAAAATTTAGATATATTGTCATATTAATTTACAAACTAAACCATAAAAAGAACTAAAGTGGTTTTCAATCCTATTTATAGTTTAGAAATTCTTAATCTAATTGGATTATTAGGCGAGGAGCCAAAGTTGGCCGAAGAACACCCACGAAAAAACACTCGTGTCTGGAATCCAGTGCTAAGATCTCCTTCTAGAAGAGTGCTGCTCCGCGTTGCCCACCGCATTAAGAGATAACATAGTTTTATTTAAATATTTAAAAATGAATATGTAAATTTTTTAAAACAGTTTTTGTTTGTTCGTCTATTTTTATCACTTTTTTTTATTATTCATTAATTTACTTTGGTTGAATATATAAATATATTCTGAACTTTACAGATAACCGATTTTACATAAATTTTGATAATATTATATATTTTTAGACAACTGAAATTTAACAATAAAACAATTAAAATTAGAATTCAACAATAAAATAATGCCCCTGGAATATTTAAGGTCATCTTGGAGGAAGGTCTAGATGGGGAAAAAATACTAATGACGGTAGAAGCAAATACTAGACTAGACTGAAAGTCCTGGTCATTTTCATATCAATATTAATTCTCATTGCTCTAGTCCAAGTGAAGAATGACAAATAAGAACAGACTACTAGGGCAAAATGTGAATACAAAATTTTATTCACACTTACAAAAAGAAAGAAACTAAACCCTTGTTCGAATGTGAATAAACATGAAGTCAAAGAATTTAAAAAAAAAATTAATTTTCGATCGACGAGTATTGAGATGAGTGATTCGGCACTCTTCTCATTTAAGTGAAGTCGAGGGTTTAATCCTCATTAATGAAAAAAATACTCGCAATAAACATTTTATTCAGAATTTATTCTAGTACGTCAATCAATTTTAGTTTAAAATCACCGTTATACATTAGTCGACGATAGTCTCTTAAGGAATGATGGAGGGAGGGGGGCCATGGGTGGCCCCCACCCCTTAATCAAAATTTTTTTTAAAAAATTATTCCATTCAAAATTGAAATCTTTTCTTTAGCTTTTAAAATAGTTTTTTTTTTTTTTTTTTTTAATTTCGACGATAGTCTCTTAAGGAATGAGGCAGGGGAGGGGGCCATGGTGGCCCCCCACCCCTAAATCAAAATTTTTTAAAAAAAATTATTCCATTCCAAATTGGAAATCCTTCTTTAGCTTTTAAATATTTTTTTTTTTGTTTTTTTTTTTTTTTTTTTTTTTTTAATTTCGCTCTCCTTTAATTGTTGAAATTATTCTAGCCTCTTTAATTTTAATTCATGGCCTATTACTGTTTATAAATACTTTTACGTGTATTAAACTCTTGACTTTATTGAAATTATTCAACTAAACTTAAACCTACTCATGCTACTCTCTATGGATTAAAAATTATTACTTTATTATAAAAAAACAATTTCAAAAATCAAAATCACAATTGAAATTTATTGAATTTAAGAAACAAAAAGCTTATAGCTGAGTTCTATAACTGACATAATTTTGGATGCAAATTGCGAATAGCCTAATACTAATGATAATGTTTAATTGAATTCTATTAGAGTTGTTTGATTTAGTATAACTTGAAATGCAGAATTTAATAAAATTCCATTTTATAGTTATTTGATATGAATTTCATTTGTACTTATTTTTCTAAATACCCTCAATAATAATTTTTTTTAAAAAAAAATCCGACAATAATATTTAGAAACAATATTTTTAATTAAATTAAAAAGTCTTATGTCTAATAATTTTAATGGATCATTATCAACTATAAAAGCCAATTAATAATATACTAATTAATAAATTTGATTTAAAAAAATTCTAACAATCAATATAAAATTAATTCATATGCTGACAATAAAGGAGGTTTACTTAATAACAAACATAATGTCATTAGTAAGTGCATAATAATAGACTTAGATATTAAAAATTTAATATTAAAACATCTGGTATTATTTTTTTACGTGTAATTTTTTATTGTTTTTATTTTTAGTTTTTTTAAATTAAATAATTTATTTAATTGGTTTATTTCAAAGTTGAAATATTCAATAATTTGAAGAGATGTGAATTTTTTTAGATAATTACTATAATTAGAATGTAAATAGTCGATAATTATATAGAATATTTACTGTACATGTTATAAGTTTAGTCCTACAAATATATTATGTTAATTATATGAAATTTATTTCAAATTCCACCAAATTTGATTTTAATTATAACTAATTCTACAAAATTGAATTCTACATTTTAGTTTGGTTACCAAACCCTAAAACATGGAATTGAATTGAAATTTCATAAAATTAGGTGATGTTTATTTTCGATTAAGTTTCTTGGTTTTCATTTTTTTCCTTAAAAAATAAACAAAACTTGTTTGTTTAAACTTGTTTATTTTTTTTCTTTGCTTTTAAAAAAATTGTTCTTAAAATAAAAAATAAATTTTATGAAACTATAAATTGCGGTTTACTGAATTGTATTTTCTGTTTTTAATTCTACATTTCTCATTTTTTTCATTTTTTATAAGATTTATCCTCATAAAATTATTGTTGTTATTATTATTTTTATCTATCTATATAAATCTAATATTATTTATTTATATTCATCATTATTCAAAAATATACCAAACATATATTTTATCTCTATCAAATTCTCAATTTTCTATCTCTACTCTATTACTATTATTTTATATTTATTATATTTTCCTCGTATTCTATATAAAATCTAAAGCGAATTTAGTATTTATTTATTATTATAAATTTCCAAAAATTATATTTTTAGTCTGTTGGAATAATCTTAATACAGCCCAATCTATTGTCAATAGAATTTTGTTGAACAAGGAAATACAAATAATCGCAAGCCGTTACCTTGATCTCATAAACTGCAAGATCTATGCTATGGTTAACTCAGTTGCGGCAAAAATTTATTCTCCTGTAACAAGCAGATCTACTTTTCTTCCTTTGCCTATGTCCCCGTAAGTTTTTCCTCTCAATGTCAGAAGAATAATCCAACCAACACGAGAGTTTCTTTATAGCCTCTCAAACCAAGCTATCACGTATTGTTGAGGGTAGCCTCACCACTCTCTATTTGTTTCTTTGCTGTGCTTTCACTAACTGTCGATTCCTTTCCTTTTATAAGGCAAAGAAGGTATTAAAACCCTAATGCTCTTATCCATTTAAGCCCCAATAACTATTCATCTATGCCACCTTAAATTAACCAGAGCTTTAATTCACATGGGCCACATATACATATTAAATTAATCTTAACAACTCCCCACTTGGCCGATGTGCAATTTTCTTGAACTATCATGTACCTTAATTTAGAATTAAGATATCGATTATGCGCTCATCAAGTCATTAAAACGAACATGATTCCTTCCATATATCACAGACCACTTCAATTCATAAAAACTGAATGGAGGAAGAAAACTATTCAACAAACAATACATTGTTACAAGCAAACGTTATTTTATTATCTCACTCCAAAACCATTTATGTAACATCTATAATTGATAACACAAATAAGCAAAAAACACCTTAATGAATCCCAAGTGTCACAATAATATGAGCCAAAATACCCATAGTATATATATATATAGACACAAGTCTGAAATATCAATCTAAAACAAAGGACTTATCCTATAATGCCCCATCTATCAAACATGCCAGTGAAGATTTTGCGTAAGCTTTAGTTAGCGATCGCTATCACAATCTAGTACCATATTGCTCTCAAATTACACTTTTGTTTTCCAATTCTTCTTTCAAACCAAGGATAGTACTTCAAATCCATTTTGCTTTTGCACCCTTAGATACCTATCATATTTAAGAAGATACAGCTCGAGATTGTCACAGTAAATTTTCCAACGGTCTACTATACCTGTCGACAATTGCCTAGACTGAGAACAAATTCTGCAACCACAAATGCATGAACAGTGCCTTTTTCAAAAACATGCCAAAAATGAACCTCCATAGGAGATAAGCAATACAGAACTGCTTTCCACTCCATATACTGCTCCCTCCAGCACCCAAGAAACAAGTAGCCAAATGAGACTTCTCGAAATCTACACAACTTAGCATAGTCTGAGAATTCCGAATCCCACCACTTCTAGATGGCTGGACTTTCTAATAAGTGGAGTATATGATCCTTTAGTGTCTTGTAAATACCTAAGTTACTTGCTGCAAGCTTCCAATCCATCCCGGGATACTTTATATCCCTAACATTCATTGCGGAAAAACTAATATCCGGTCGAGACCAGTCTTTAACATTACCATAACTCCCAACCCACTATGTATATGGAATAGACCCTCATATCTTCTTTATGTTCCAAATCATTTTTAGACATGCATTCGTTGTGAAAACCTATCCCCTTTCTGAATTGGAACTATTCTGCGGAGCAATTTTTTCCATTATAATCTCTCTAATACCTTATCCCAATGTAACTCCTTGAGACCAATCCTA